CTGGGGATCAAACTCACAACCTCGCACTTACCAGGAAAGTGCACTGTTGAGCTAAATCCCTAGCTTGAACTAGTATTTATAAATAGCAGACAAAGACATATAGTATATAAGTGTGTAATATCAAGTAACTTTGTGTAAGTGTAGGCTTCTTTTAATATCAGTGTATAGTATCAAGTACCTTTGTTTAAGTGTAGACTTATTCAATGAAAATTCCTTAACAAATTTAGAAATAAACAAATGTATGTATGTAAATGTTTGTATTTTACATGCTCAACACAATTGTTGTTCAATTAAAGATACATTTATAAACACATACTTTTTGTGCTCAAATATTTTGTCATCAATTATTCATATGATACTGATTTTAATGTCAGCCTTCTCTGTGTACCAAACATTAAATATTAATTTAATCCTCTCACCTCTGAATTTTTTGTTACTTCTTCCATTTTCCAGAGAAAATAAAACTACTGAATGATTAAGTAATTTGCTTATGTTCAAACTGTTAATAAACTCCAGAGTTTGTCCTCAGTCCCAGCTTCTGTAGCTGTAAAACTTATATCTTAAGTTTGATGTGATCCTTTGCCTTACAAGTGAAAGTTATACTATTTGTCACACTGAGCACATTTAAAACCCTCTGTTCTTTTTTCCCACCTCCACTTCCCTACCTCATTGTGGGACTTCCCCTCATCAGGGCTCAGCTTCTTATCAGTATGGAAGGAAAAAGAGGCTGGAATGAAAGGGACAAGAAAGGTCACAGGAGAGAGATTCCTTCATGTCCTGGAGGTGGCGCTGGCTGCGGTCAGTGTAGAGGCTGGCTCTTTCTCCAGGAAGGCACTGTTTGGGGGTCCCTCCATGCTCAGCTTGCCTTCATCAGCTCAGCAGGCTTACAGCTGCTCCTCATACAGCTTCCTCTGTGCTGGGCTGCTGGTCAGACAGCTTCCAGTGTAGCTGTCTGTCCTTCAGTTCCACAGATGGCTCATACTCCAGAATGAATCTGCCGAGCTCTTCATGTAGTTCTTTTAAACCTCTTTCTTAGTTTCAAAAGAATTCCTTTTATCCCTTACCTCATCTCCACTTTACCTTTCCAATCCCAGGCTGGAGATGAGGGAAGTTCCAAAATACTGCAACTTTCTCCAAAATTTTCTCTTAAATCATTCCTCTCTTCAAAGCTCTTCACCATAGGAAATATAAAGTAGGTGCTAATTCTGTCTTTCATATATGATGATTGTATTAGTCACCTTCCTTGTGGTTGACACATAATATTTGATGCCCACAATGTAAGGGAATAGAGGTTTAATTTGACTCATTGAGTTGAGGAATTCAGTCCTTATTCAAGGGCTGCTCCAACACAGGAGCATCATGGTAGTAAAGCATGGTGGAGAAAAGCTGCTCCATTCCTGGCAACTGGGGAGCAGAGCAAGGAGACAGGGCCAGAGAGAAAGGGGCCAGGAACCAAGGCATGCCTCCATCACTCCCAGATACATCCAGGAAGAAGCATGCTTTGCTAATCCAATGAAGTCAACCAATCAGGATGAATGGCTATAAGCAGCATCTCTAGTTGTCTAAACTAGAAATTATAAAGTGCATGGTCTCATGGAATTGCTGCAGGAGTGGTTCTCAGCTGAGCTGGATGCTGACCTCACAGGGAAGCTGCCTCAAAGTCCTGAGGACATGCTGCTCTGGGGATCCTGCCACTGGTGGCCTCAGAACATGCTGCCTCTGTCTGCTTCCTCAAGCTCACTGTGAGGCCAAAAGCTCATTCACAGAACAGCCACAGTGAAATGAAAGGGAATATTGTGTTACTATTGTTTATTTCAACTTGTGAAGGTGGTATTCATAATGGTCAGTCAAGAGTATGTGTTCATATGCCCCCATCAAGCCACAAAACTTTGCTTTGGAGCTGTTTAACATCTGTTGGTTTTTTATGTCTGTCCTGTTGAAATTTTTATTAGAAATGCATTGAAATTACTAATGCATTACTCATGATGAACTGACATCTCTATGATAACAAGTCTTCTAATGCATAATTAATGCATACATTCAGATTTTCTTTTATATGCATCATAAGCATCATACTATTTTCTATGAAGGTAATGTTTTCAGTCAATTATTTCTGGTCTTACAGTTTTTGTTTTCTTGGAGAATAAATATTTTTCAGTGATAATTTCTAATGGCTTATCTCCTAGGTATGAGAATGCTACTGAATTTTTTATATTGAATCTTTATTTTTTTTCTGGCACTAGGGATTGAACTCATGACTTTGTGCTTGTCAGGCAGGTGCTTAAGCCACTGAGCTGAATTCCCAGGCCTCTATATTGAATCTTGTATCATCCATTTTTTTTTCTCTTCATTTCGTTTGCTTCTTCCTTTTGTAATAGAATCTATGTTCCTCAAGTTGGTCTTAAGCTCAGGTTATCTTTTCTGAGCTCCTGACATTACAGACATGTGCTTCTCACCAAGACTGTCACTATGTCTTACTATTTCTATTCACTGCTTTGTGCATGTTCTGAGCTTCCTAGTTACATAGTTATATCACCGACAGATAAGGCATTTTCATTTTTTCTTTCCCACCATTTGGCTTCTTTTTATTTGTTGATTATGACCTCCAGAACAAGATTTATGTGAAGCTATAAAATGGATTTTATCTCTGATTGTAATGGGAATATCAGTGAAGAAGTCTCATTGCAACATCTAATATTGGCATAAAAGTTCAGGTAGTATATGAGTTTTCTAAGACTACCATAACAAAATGCCATCAATCAGGTGTCTTAAAGCAACAGGTTTATTCTCTCTCAGTTTTAAAGGCTTGAAAGCTGAAATCAAAGTGTTGATTTCCCAAGATGCTAGGATAGATATATCATTCCTTGCCTCTTCTAGCTTCTGGTGGTTGCAAAGTTCTTTATTTATTTGTTTTGTGAGACAGAGTCTTGCTGTGTAGTTCAGACTGGCCTTGAACTCAACTGTGTAGCCTAAACTGACTCAGACTTGCAGTGATTTGCCTCCCTCAGATTCCTGAGTGCTGGGATTACAGGTGTGTGCCACCATGGCCAGCCAGTTGCCAGTTCTTGGCATTTATCATCTCTCTTTCATGACTTTCTCCCTGTGTGTTTTTCTGTGTATCCAAATTTCCTTCTTTTTATAAATACGCAATTCGTATTGGATTTAGGAAATTGTTCAAAAGGAAAAAGAAACTAGGGTGGGGGAAAGGGGAAAGGATTAAAGGGAAAAGGAAAAACTGCAAGTAAGGTATATTATTAGTGTCTCTCAGTTCATTGAAAAGGAAGGGTTGTACTAATATCGATTGAAGGAATTTTAATGCTCATATCTGGTACTCTGAATAACTATTTAATATGCAGTGTGTTAAATATTGTTATGCCCCTATTATTTTGTTAGAAATTTTGTTTTACCTTTTCTCCATAAAAATGAATCAATGGTTTTGATGTTGCAGGAAATTTCTCAAGCCAGGCCAAATCAACCCAAACCAAAAGGAAGACTTTTGCACTGAGTAGAGCAATTAATCTTTACACCAGCAGACTTGGATTTTCATGCCAGTGGACTGTTGCAGGGATAATTCCTCTAAAGCCACTGCCCTGATTTAGGAAGTGGTTTAGTCTATATAGAATTATAAGGTGGAAGTACAAGCAAATGATCAAATGTTACATGACTCATTACATACATTGAGTCATATATGGACAGAGAGGCTGGTCTTGAAAGGATAGAGATACTCCAGGAACTAAGGGAAGGGGCTCTTACTGAATGAGCACAGTTCAAGACATTACCATAGTATGGAAATGTTCCAGAGAGAGGGCCTTCACTGAATGAGCATGAATCAGCCCAGGGTGCCTTAAGATACAGACAATTACTCTTAGCACTCATCTGCGGCTAGACTGTGGACACTGTCAGGGTGAATTGAGTTTAGCAGAAACAGCAGAACACTGACTTGGTCAAAGGTCTCTAACTGATCTTGAAATATCTATAAGTTTACCGTCTCACGAATGTGCTTTTACATTATAATTGTGCCACAACATCGAAAGCCCACAGTTGGATGCACCAAGGGAGTGAGTGCAGATGGAGAAAAGGACCACAGACTGAATCCTGGGGTCAAGAATTAGAGGAAAAACCAGCAAAAGAGACTGACATGAGCACCTATTACATCTGAAGAAAGAAAAAGGAGTAAGATGTTTTAAAGTTAAGAAAGTGTCAAGGAGGAGGAGTGATTGTATTCAATAGTGTGGAACTCAGGTAAAATTAGGAAAGAAACATGGTTGTGTTCAGCAACTTGCCCTTACAAAGAGCCCCACCTGGGAGGTTTAGGAGGGAAAGGAAGGGGCAGATCCTGGGCTCCGAGGGCTCAGCGCGCAGCTGTCAGCTGTGCTGCAGGCGCTCCGTCTCTGCTATTTGCCTGGTAAGATGGGGCGTCCAGGAGGGGATCCGGAGACAGTGCAGATTCCTTCGGAAAGGAAATGTGAAAAGCACTTAGAAGACTCCTTAAACCCTCAGGACTAGCGTTTACTTGTAGCTTAAACGTCAGTGCTGAATTATAAGTGGATGCCGGGTTCAGTTCCTTTTCCTTTTCTTTTTCAGGCTGAGGCAAACAGGCATCAGAAGCAGGCTGCCCAGCGTGGAGGACGCGCCCATCAGAGCGGTCGCCAGCCGGTCTCCTCTGCAGCTGCCAGAGCTCTAGGGACAGGTGGAGGGTCCTGCAGCACATTTCGATCATTCCCGGATGAACCTGTTCTGGACAAACTCTTCCCTATGGCAGGTCTGATTGCAACCCTCGGGCTTCACCGCCTTCCTGAGAAACCATAGCCATGCAGGGCAAGAGAGGCTTTGCCCAAGAAAATCAACATCATAGGGTGCATACATTGCTAATGAAAGATCTTCAAAGATTTTCCAATTAAAATTTTTATTTCATTTGTATGCTGACAACACGCCTCCTCCTTTGGAGGATTTAGGATCGGAGTTAACCCAGTGGCACAGGCGACGTTTTCTGTTTGTGGTCATCCTTGGCCTGGAGGACAGCACAGGATCCTTCTGGAGCAGCCAAGAGCGTGGCAAGGAGCAAGAGGAGCTCGACCAGCCGCAGCTGCTGAGTGCCCGAGCTGGGACCCTCTGACGCTGCGTGCGAAGGTGCAGTCCCTGCCCAAGCCATGTGCCTGGATGCCCCCAAGAGATTTCTTGAGGCTCTGGAGCCTGCAGTCCAGTACATACGTACGACAAATAAGAAAAGTTAACAGGAGTCCCACCGAGTCCCACCTGGGCCCCGGCGGCTGGGGGTGGGGACCCAAGACCATCACCTTGGGGGCCCCTAACCTGCAGATGCCTAGCCACACGCAGTCACGTCCCCCAGTGCGCAGAAGCCTGAGCTGCGTTTCCTCCTCCTGGGCACCTCTCGGTGCAGCCAGGATCGCAGCCAGGCTAACTGTCAACAGCTATACAACTGAAATAGCTTTTCTTGCTGCTTGCACCAGGGGATTAGTATTGTAAGCACTAGCAATGCTAAATGAATGAATAAATGGTGAAAAAGTCAACATATGTTTACAAAGATTTTGTTCATGTTCGTCATAATTAGATTTGGTAAATGCTCCAGTATCTGAAATTACTATTCCCTAGGGAAGAAAAATACACGAAAGTGAAAAAGTATTATTGATGTCTTGCCAAAGTTAAAAGTTGTATTTTCCCTAAAATTCTAAGAAAAAAAAATCCTTGGGACCAGAAATAGACAGAGGCAAAGCACCTGCCTGGCAAGCGGAAGGTTGTGAGTTCAATCCCTGCTACCAAAAAAAAAAAAAAATTTTTTTTTGCTTCTAAGAATATATAAAGAAACCATAATATTTACACACAGTGGAGTACTCTCTGCAATAAAGAAACATAAACTTCAGCCATTTGTAGGACTATGACTGTACCTGGACACAATATATTAAATGAAATGTCAGACACAAGCTTAAATATCACTTGGTTTCTCTTACGTGAGAAACCCAAATTATAAATGAAGAGCAAAATAAAATGGAGATGTTAGGAAGTAAGAAGACAATGTTTTTAAATGGGAAGGGATCAAGAGATGAGGGAGGGGAGGGAAGCAGGTGTGTTAGGTACATGCAACAACTCCACAAGAGGAATGCAAACATGCACTGCAAATATGCACTGAAAAAAAGGGATGTGCCTTAATATTATTATTTCACAATTATTCTCAGCAAAATAATAAAATACATTGTGTTGACTGATTATATTTGTTACTGATACTATAATTGAAACAGTAATATTTGCATTTATCACAAAAATGTTCTAAACATTCCTATGGGCAATGGGCAATGTATTCTAAAAAAACAAGACTATAATTGTCCACAAGGTGGCAGCATTACACATACCCAAGAGGGGCTTTTTTTTTTTTTTTTTTTTTTTTAAATCTGGGGTGTGAGAACTGAGTTGCCCACAAGTAACTCACATTCTCTTTTGTAGCTCATGTGTGAATGTTTTCTTTTTTTAGTTAAAATGTTAAACACCAGGCCACTTGCTCTTATCAGAAGAACACAGTGACGCTCTCCAGCTGTTTTGCTCAAGCCTGGGGTGCCTGGAGTCACACTGTTAGTGGCACCATGCCTAGAAAAACTGGTTTTTTTTGAATATTAAAAAGTGATTGTACTTTTAAGGCACCAAGTTCACTTTTATCACACTCATTTTAGGGTCTGTTTTTTCACTAATTAGTAGTTAATAGTTGATAGCACCTTAAGCATCTTACCTTAAGCATCTATACATTTCAATATATATATTAGCTCGTCAGGATATTTAAATATATATTGTTGAATAATATTAAAGGTAATATAACATTATATCTTATTCCCACATCCAAAGTACAAAATATTTTCTATTTACCTATGCTTCTTTAGGATCTTTATTCAAATATATGTACAGAGTTCTAATCAAATTGCCCATACCACTTTAAAATTTTATTACTACATTAACTATTATTTCACAAAATAATTTTTGTTTGTCTTATATATCTTGTTTTGATCAATTCACTGGAATAACAAGTTTGTGATTGTAACTTGGTCTTCAGACTTAGATGTCTGTAAGATTATTTAAGCTCTATAACTGTCCCTCTCTCAAGTTGAAGTAATGTAGGTCAAGGATATGACAAAAAATGTTCACTAAGAATCCTGGAAATTTGTTCTCTTTCTGGTTTTCATTGCAGGTGACCTAGTGTCCTCACAGCAATTAGGTGTCTAGATTGATCTAAACTTGGCTACTGCATGGATAGGCAAATCTCGGTGGGATGTGCAGTGCTACCAGGCCTTAATTCTCTCCAGTAATAGTCACTTGTCTCACAAGATTGTTGGATAAAAAAAATACTAATGGGATAACAATACTATTTGGAAATTATTTATAGCTTTCAAAGTACTTTAATGTGCATTATCTTTTAATCTTTATAATATTCATGTGGTACCCAGACAGTTTTATTCTCATGTTTTGTTTTTGAAAAAACTGGTAGGTTGCTAAGATTTGGTAATTTTCACTCCTTTTTTTTTTTTTTTTTTTTTTTTTTTATACCGGGGACTGAATTTATGACCTCATGCTTGCCAGGCAGGTTCTGATGTGTGTACATGTATGTGCACATGTGTGTGATACCTGTCAGTGGGTGCATTCCTTAAATACTTAGAATTCACCCTGCCCACGCCTGTGGACAGCAGGACAGAGTTTGCTGCCCTCTGTCACATGGGACCCCTTGTTTATGTGTTTATCTTCCAGCACCCATTTTCTCAGCTCCTTCTGGAACAAGACAGTGGCCTTCAGATCTTGAGAAACCTGTTCTGGGGCATCACACACTGCGTTATTAGAGTCAGCCCTGAGCACAGGCCACCCTGTACTTTAGAGAGACATGTGCCCTAGGAGAGTGACTTCTTATTTTGTTTCCTCATCCTTGAAGGATAATTAACAACTGGTGTGTGTGTGTGTGTGTGTGTGTGTGTGTGTGTGTGTGTGTGTGTATTTTGGAAGGCTGATTGAAAGAAAAGAAAGTTCTAACATAAAAAGAAACATAAACCAAAGTTCCAAAACTTGAGTTATATCTCTTTTAGCTACTGGTCCAAAATACCCTCATATCCTTTTATTTTTTTTTCTGAAAGGTTCTTGCCTCAGGAGAAATTATGGTGGTGGCCTAACTGGTCTAAGGAGGCGGAAGGCCAAAGCAGGAACCCCTACCATTTCCCAGCTCCTGTTTATGCATGAAGAAAAATCCAATCAGCTGCTTGTGCATCAGCAATGCCTGCCCTAAGCGCCACCCCAGTCGAAAATCATGTGTATATCCCATGCTCCACGTTTCTGGCAGACGTTTCTGGCAGAGAAAGCCAGGCCCCAGTGGTCATGGAGTTCTCTCCACATCCTTAGAATAAAGGCTATTTTACTTTATATTCTCCCTTTCATTGTGCTGAAAAGTCTATCATTTTCATCAAACAGCCAGAAAGATTAAAGCTTCAAGTTCCTTGTGAATGAACTAGTAATTGAACTATCATGAAAGAGTGAATTTTTCTCTCCAGCTTAGATTTTGCCAGTAATAACTCTTGGATTCTCACAACTTCTGAGGTATCAGGTGAACAATACAATGTGAATTTCTCATGTGAGGATCAAATTTGTTTCTTAATTTAGCCAGGATTATTTAACTTGCTTCCTAGGAAAGAAAAGCTTGTGAACATGTGTTTGACACTGCCTTTTACTGGGTACACATTTGGGAAAAAAAAAAAAGAAAATAACAAATAGCTTTATAACAGGCTAGGTTTTGAGGGAAGTTTTTCCAGTGTAATTCAAGAACTAGTGATTGAGAGCCTGACAGAATTCAGGATTCCAAAGTAATGAGCTAATACTTCTCAATTCATCTAGAATTAGAGAGTTTTTGACTTGGAGGGGAATTTGAGATTTTTTACTCCATAACTTTCACTTTCTAGATGGGAAAATGTAACCAGTCATGTGAAGTATAAGTATTTCAGTTGTTATTCTTTAGTTTCAAATAGCAGAAGCTGGAGGTGGAGAGGCTGAAGACAGTTTAGCTTTAGGCACAAATGGATTAAGGAGGTCAAATTCTCTCTCTCTCTCTCTCTCTCTCTCTCTCTCTCTCTCTCTCTCTCTCTCTCTCTCTCCTCTTGCTCTCATATTTTTCTCTTTCCTCTTCTCCTACTGCCTGATGGATTTCTGCTCATACAACATTCACTGAGTCTTCATGGTGATTGGGACCAGCATGACTGAGAAATCCCAGGAACAATTGCGCAACTTCCTGCTTCTTCTCCCCTCAGCCCTTTTAAAATAAACCTACTCTTAGTTTTTCCTGAGGGTTGGTGCACCTCCAATCAGCTATTATCACGCCATTTTGTCCACCTCCCAGTCTCCTCCCCCAGCCAGACTTAATACAGCCCAAGCACTTCTTTGTCTGGCTCAGAGGAAATGCTGCATTCTTGTGCAACACTCTGTACACATGATAAAAGCCTCCTTCTCTCTCTTTCTCTGTGTCTCAGTTGCACTGAAAAACCCTGTTTCAAAAAGACAAAATAAATAAATTAAATAAATATTAAATGTTTTCTTTTTATAAAATTCACTTAGAATTCTTTTGTAAACAGGTTGTTATAAATATAATAAATTATACTGATGAACACCTCTCTTTTTTTTGGTGTTTACCAACATGGAGTCTCGTACCAGATGCTCTCATTTAAGTTCAGTATCATGAATAGACACAGTGATTTTTCAAATATTCTGAATTCCATTGGTTTTCACACTGGAAATTCACAGAATTTGGTTCCCATGTTTTCTGTTTATCATTTATTCATAATGGATGGCTCTTTTGAAGAGAAATATGCCAACACAGACCTACTGGTCAACTGCAGATTGCATTTAATACTTTAGGTTTCTACATTTTTTAATCATACCCTTGGTATCTAACAGATCCAGCCCACAGATTTGCAGATGTAAAAAAATGTCAGTCAATAAACATGAGAAGATACTTGGATACTTTGTCTTTAGGTCCGAAGTTTTCATTTTCTGATAATCTGTTTTTGACTAAAAATGTATTGTTACCAAAAATCAGAAGTTGTGAAGTATAATACATTCCAGAGATCTGAAATTTCCCTACAAGAAGCTCTTTGACACATGCATATCTGCTGGCTGTGTTCAATCTTCTGTTCATGAACTCACCAGGATACTGATGTTAATAAGCTCCAAACTTGGGAAGCAGGGCTACAGGTCCATGTCGTGGCCACCAAGGCGTGGTAGAGGTTTACTCCTTTTCTTTCAACATCACACTGCAGGCTCCACTTCTAAAAACTGTTTCTACTCTTCTTTTCCGTCTTCTTTTCACCTGAGTTCTTAGGTTTGTTCAATTAGTTGTTTTCTACTCTGGCCGTCTTATATGGAGACTCTAACATCACAGGGAAAGCTTGGAAAAAAGTCATTGAATTACTATGTTGATCAGATTTTAAGGTGATTGATAGCAATGTTAGTTGCTCATTCAATATTTTTTAAATTTGAGGCACATATTTGACAAATACACTTGAATTTTGCTCTTAAAACCCTTACCCTGACCAGCATTTGATTTCATCCTGCCAATAAAAGGTGGATAATATGCAAT